AAAAAAAAAAAAAAAAGAGTTTTGGAACCAGCAAATGGCGTAATGGTTATGTCACTGGACTCCCAAATAGTTGACTGTGGTTCGATTCCCACACCCAGCAACTTAAACTCATGCTCGACGCATGTGCGTGCTTGCCCAAGATCCCAAGAGGAGAATGGAGGAGAAGGGATTGAGGTGTGGCCATTCCCCTGAAGCAGGTGCAACTCCATCTTGGAGGAGTACCTCCATCATAAACTATTAGGTTCCTATGACTGGAAATTTGCCTTCTCATTTGTGCCTAAGAGCAAACAGAGTAAATTAACATTCCTTTTGTCTTTAAACCCCACTTCTCCTAGTTGCTTTAAGATAAGGTCCAGTCATTGGACCTTGCTCTGAGCCATAAAGACCATTAAGATGCCATTGTGTTTAGGTAGGGATGAAACATCCTCAAAAATGATTAACCTACTTTTCTTGCTTCTGTAATATGCTTTTTTTGCTTTTACATTGTTAAAACCCTACCCTCTACCCTTTTCCCCCATTCAAGCCCACTGCACCTTACCCTCGTGAATCATCACGTCATCCTGGACATGATTGTACATTTTTTGCCTTTATAAACACCCATCACCTTGCACTTGGGGCTCCGGCTGTGGGGTTTTGAGAGACATGAGTCCCACTGTATACTGCCGGCGTAATCAATAAACTCCAATAAATTTGTCTGGATGTCCTCTTATTTCTCACTAAATAGACTGTAACACCCCCTGGGGGGTGATTTCTCACTTTCTGTCTCTGTTTCTGTCTTTCCAGTGAGCACATGCGCCCTATAGCAAAAACCTCTCAAAAAAAAAAAAGTGTGAAGATTAGGGAGTGGTCGTTCCAGGTGCCATCTTTGTTCTGACTGGTTCAGGCTTTTTTTTTTTTTTAAGAATTATTCATTTAATTCATTTATTATTATTTTTAAAAATTTGTCATAGGGCATGTGCACTCACCAGAGAGAGGCAGACAGAAAGAGAGAAAAAAGAGAAAAAAACAAGTTACCACTTCCATGACTCAAACTGTGTTCAGCCATACAGGGAGTCCAATGCCTTAACCACCATGCCACTTGCTGGCCCCTAGCCTAGGTATTTTTAGTGGAGGCCTTAACTACTGGCATGCATCTCATTACTTAGAAAAAAATGCCATTAGGGAGGGACTGAGGCATGGTAGGAACATTACCTTTTATTCCCTTGATCCTGTTGTGGAGGAGACTGAACCCATGGGGTCTTTACCTAGGTTTCATGCAGGGGAGAATTCAAGAGTGAGCCTTTGAAGGAGAGTGAAAGCAAGTTTACTAAGGAAAGTGTACATAGGTAGAGCAACCATGTGAAGGAGATGGGTGCCTGTTTCCTTTCTTCCTCTGAGGTGAAGGGGAGACTGTCACCTGGAAGGAAAGATAGAAGGGCCACTCCATAGGCAGGGCTGCTCTGAATTTCAGTGAGTTTCTGGCTTACAGGAAGTAGCTGAATGCCAGGCTACATAAGGAGTAGTTTATAACTTCTCTGAGAAAGGAACACTGGTTTTCTTGGAACCACTGTCCCTCCTATTGGACTATCAAAAAGTCATGACATACTTTTTTCTGTTTTTCTATGCAAAAATGCTTCATGATTTTTCTGACAACCCAGTATTTTCTGGCCTTATTAGGGCAGTTCTGGTTATTGCTATGGCATAGGTAGGAGTGTCATAGTATGCTAATATTGTACAGTGAGAGTATGAGTCTGAAATTGTTCCGGGTGCCATCTTGTTCCAACTGGTTCAGGCTCAGTCTCTCAGCCATTTCTTGTCTGTCAGGTTTTAGGTGTTTGGAATGTCCTTTGTCTCAATTCCCTCCTGCCTATTCTCTCCTCTCTGAAATGTGTGTAAATCCTTCTGAAGACTGGGTAGGCTTTCTGTCAGATGTAGGGCCCAGGCTATATTTCTCAGGAGCCTGGGAGTGGTCTCTCTGACATACAAATGTTAAGGAAGATGGTGCCCTTCCTCCTTGTTTCTGTGGGAAGGTGAGAGGGTGGAGCCTAACTTCTGAGGAAGGCTGGTGGTAGGGGGTTTCCAAGTTACAGAACTATCTACCTCCTTGGGACCAGCAGGTGGCATGGTGGTTAAGGCGCTGGACACTCCCACATGGCCGACCAGGGTTTGAGTCCTGAATCTGGTGGCTTGCTTTCTCACTTCCTTTCTCTCTCACTCTCACTCTCTGTCTCTCTCTGGTCAAATTAAGAAATAAATGAATGAATAAATAAAAAAATAAAATAAATAATTATTTAAAAAAAACAGAACTATCTACCTCCTGTCTCAAAGAAATGAGAAGTTTGTTTTTCCTCCCATGAAGCCAAGCAGCAGGTGGCTGCACCAATTATCAGGCAACTTTAGAGTGAACGAATGTGCCCAGGCCCTTAGGATTTCAGTGCTGCAACTGGGGACAAAGACCAAATATGATTTCCAGTCTTATCAGGTGTGGCCTGGAGTGTCACCTGCAGGCAGTCCTGCGAGCTCCCTGCTGTGTCAGGCTATCTCTAGTTCTACTCTTCCAGAGTGCTAGAGGCCACTGTGGCTGTGGCTGTCAAACCTGGTGAACTTTAAAGGCACCGGAGGCATGAAAAACCTGTGCTCAGATTCCATCACAGGCGACTTGGGCAGCCTAAAGTGGCTGAAGTCTAGGGTGGTCCCAACTCTGGCATTTTCTCAGAGTGAGTGTCTTCCATCATTCATAATGAGTCCCCTTCTTTTTATTTATTTAGAGATTTTTTTTTGCTATAGGGTTTGTGTGCTCTACAGAGAGACAGAAAGCGAGACATCACACACACACACACACACACACACACACACCCAGGGGAGATGACCATGCCACAATCCCTTCTCTTCCATTCTTTTCTCGAGATTTGAGTACACATGCGTAAGTGCCCGGCAAGAGTTTTAAGTTGCTGGGTCTGGGACTCGAACCATGGTCGACTATGTGGGAGTCCAGTGATGCAATCATTACGCCATCTGCTGGTCCCCATAATGAAGTCCCTTCCAACATACTAGAGTTTTTTCTGGCAAGGTGACTTTTGGTGGCCCCTAGATAGCTTCAGATTGTGACTGACCACCAGACAGACAAACTAGGTGATTAGAACATTGGAACTTTCAGCCGCCTTCTCTGAGGGGAGGAGGGTTGGAGACTGAGTCCCATCAGCAGTGGTCGTTGACTAATCGTACATAGTTATGCCTATGTAATAGAATCACTGACCAACACTGATCCTACCTGGATGGGAGCCCTGCTCCCCCATCCCTCCATGTGTCCCTTCATCTGGCTGTTCCTGATCCACATCCTTCATGACAAATGCATCTTCGTAGGGTGTTTTCAGTGACTTGTGTGTCATTCTAGCGAATTATTGAAGCTGAAGGGGCTGTGGGAATCTCCAAAGCTAGACCCAAGTAGCTTGGATGTGCAGGTGGCCCCCAGGACTTGCAACAATCTTGTGGGACTGAGCCCCTAACTTGTGGTGTCTGACGTAAACTCTGGTAGCAAATGTCGGAATTGGAATGACTTCGGATGCCAGTTGCTGTCAGGGCACACACTTTGTTGAAGGTTCTTTTTTCTTCATTATTTTTACCATAAGAGAGGAGTGAGAGAGGCACCTTGAACTGGGTCCTTTCACTGCAGTGCAGCCTCGGTCAGCCCCAGATCACAGGCACGCACTCACACACCTGCCGTGTACAGGGCACCCAGATGGTCTGAGGCGGTTCAGTTGTGTCACCACTGCGTCACCGTCTGGCCCGGCTGGAGATGCCAGCCTGACGGCAAGTGCGCACCCCTGCCCCCAGCCTGCCTTGCGCTGTTTCATGTAGCCACCTTTGCTCTCTCCACAGGAGTCTTGGACAAACTCTGTGCCCCAAGTCCCCTGCAGGCCCAGTTCCTGTGCCTGTGCCTGAGCTCGTGCAGGGATGGCAACACCTTTACAGGGTCAAACGCAGGAGACCTAACTCGTGTGTCCAGAGCTGTGTGGGACAAGAGATATCCCCCTGCTTCCAGGGCGTGGCCGGCTTCCCAGTCTACCCACACAGACTCATGGCCCCACGACTGCCCAGGCCACTCAGGAGTTCCTGGGGGAAGGCCAGTGTTTGCTCTGACCCTCCTGCAGGAGCCCAGGACAGATGAGACAGACAGACGGGAAGCCGAGTAAATTTTTATTAGCAGCAGGTAGGAAGCTTATGTGCTCTCTGGATGCAAGAGAGGAGGTTCTTGCCCGCAGACTTGGGCGGGTGGGTCCCGGCCGAGTGAGGGGCTTCCAGGGACAGCTTCTCACTGAAGGAGGTTCTCTGTAGGGGGACATAGTTGCCTTAGATGCTGTTGCAAAGCCCAGCAGGGGTGAGGGGTGGTGGGAGGGAAAGAGGTCACTGCTGTCTGTGCTTGGGGGGCGGAGGGT